AGATATGACCGTTTTCATTCATTCTGACATTGAAAATATTGAACACTACCATTTTCAGCCAAAAGATGGTGCTCGAGCAGTATGGCCTGCCGTTGTGTCATGTTATAGGTAAAAGTTGCTATTAATGACACAATCGGCTTGCCATACCAAGCCATCTTCGTCCAGCTCTGGGATCATGCCTGGAGCAACCGTCAAATCAACTTCATTTTGGTGTCACAATAATTAGTAATTATTGTCAAATTTAAGAAGAAATGTTTGTTAATTTGTTTTGAGTGTAGTACCTTTTTTCGACCACTGGATGGCAGTATAAGACTGTTTGAACTGAAGGATGGATAGTGAGTGAGCGAGCAGTGTGTCTCTAAGTAGCACTTTGGCCAACAGTGTTGTTTTAAAGTGCTCTATAAATAAAGTTGTATTGTAAGAAAAATGAGAGGGAGGCTCCTTGACATGACATGGGCTGTCTCTCTTCAGTTCTCAAAATGGCGGATGCTCTGTGTGGTTTGAGCTCTTTAGCATAGCATTTTTCACACAAAGCTTTAAATTAAAAAAGAAAAAAAAATCAGTAAACAAGTTCTCAGCTTCTTTTTGCAGAAAAAACAACTTTTTACACGAAGGCACGTGTTTCAACCATGAACTTTGGAGCTTCGACGAAACACAGGTCCCGTTATATTTTATTTTAGTATTTATACATATTTTAAGGCTTTATAAACCCAGATCTCTTCGGTCAAGTGATGAACATAGTTAAGGGGGGTTGCTGGAGCTGCTTCTTCACAAAAGAGCACAGTGAAAGAAAACAGACAGACTGATGCTACGGTTACTGAGGCAATCAGAACCCGGGATACAGAGCACAATACTCTGGTTGGTCGCCTTCCATTAATCAGATAATCGTGAGTCGTGTATACAATCTTACGTTAAAAACCCACGAAACAGTGAGTCCACGAAAACCGAACCGCAAAGTAGCGAGAGACTACTGTACCCGCAGAAAATCCATGCATGCACGGAAAAAACATGCAAACTCCACCCAGAATGTGTAGAGGCGTGAGAGGGGGCAATTCCACCACCTATGCCGCCTAAACTAGTTTATTCTGTATTAAAAATGGTGGAAACAAAAAGAGTGTTTATACGAAGAGATCTTTTCAAACATCTACAACTTTGTTAGCTTGATTTTCTTCTACGTGAACCACAATAAAACATCTCAAGACGTCCATGTGACAGCTCAATTCTTAAGACTCCTTTGATTAAAATAGACCCTGAATTTGACTCGACATTGTTTAATCATGTCTATCAAAGACCACTAAAGGATTTTAATCAATTCTCTTGTAGAGGCACCACTTCTGTCTCAGGTTAAAAATAAATAAATCCTTGTACACATTATCTGAACAAGTTTTAATAATTCTGAGCATGAGATCATCTTGAATATATACAGGTCCTTCTCAAAACATTAGCATATTGTGATAAAGGTCATTATTTTCCATAATGTAATGATAAAAATGAAACTTTCATATATTTCAGATTCATTGCACACCAACTGAAATATTTCAGGTCTTTAATTGTTTTAATACTGATGATTATGGCATACAGCTCATGAAAACCCAAAATGCCTGTCCCAAAAAATTTGCATATTTCATCCCACCAATGAAAGACAAGTGTTTTTAATACAAAAAACGCCAACCTTCAAATAATCATGTTCAGTTATGCACTCAATACTTGGTCGGGAATCCTTTTGCATGAATGACTGCTTCAATGCGGCGTGGCATGGAGACAATCAGCCTGAGGCACTGCTGAGGTGTTATGGAGGCCCAGGATGCTTCAATAGCGGCCTTAAGCTCATCCAGAGTGTTGGGTCTTGCGTCTCTCAACTTTCTCTTCACAATATCCCACAGGTTCTCTATGGGGTTCAGGTCAGGAGAGTTGGCAGGCCAATTGAGCACAGTAATACCATGGTCAGTAAACCATTTACCAGTGGTTTTGGCACTGTGAGCAGGTGCCATGTCATGTTGAAAAATGAAATCTTCATCTCCATAAAGCTTTTCAGCAGATGGAAGCATGAAGTGCTCCAAAATCTCCTGATAGCTAGCTGCATTGACCCTGCCCTTGACAAAACACAGTGGACCAACACCAGCAACTGACATGGCACCCCAGACCATCACTGACTGTGGGTGCTTCACACTGGACTTCTGGCATTTTGGCATTTCCTTCTCCCCAGTCTTCCTCCAGACTCTGGCACCTTGATTTCCGAATGACATGCAAAATTTGCTTTCATCCGAAAAAGTACTTAGGACCACTGAGCAACAGTCCAGTGCTGCTTCTCTGTAGCCCAGGTCAGGTGCTTCTGCCGCTGTTTCTGGTTCAAAAGTGGCTTGACCTGGGGAATGCGGCACCTGTAGCCCATTTCCTGCACACGCCTGTGCACGGTGGCTCTGGATGTTTCTATTCCAGACTCAGTCCACTGCTTCCGCAGGTCCCCCAAGGTCTGGAATCGGCCCTTCTCCACAATCCTCCTCAGGGTCCGGTCACCTCTTCTCGTTGTGCAGCGTTTTCTGCCACACTTTTCCCTTCCCACAGACTTCCCACTGAGGTGCCTTGATACAGCACTCTGGGAACAGACTATTGTTCAGCAATTTCTTTCTGTGTCTTACCCTCTTGCTTGAGGGTGTCAATGATGGCCTTCTAGACAGCAGTCAGGTCGGCAGTCTTACCCATGTAGTGAACTAGGCCTGATGTCAAAACCTTGACCTTAGGCACCTTATGGGACAGAACCTGTCATTTCATTGATTTGAATCCAGAAATACAGGTTGACCCATCCTGAGACTTTCTTTCTTGAATTGATCAAGTGAAAGAACTCTCTTTTCTATTATCATTACTATTTTACAAATGTTTGATAATCAAATTGTGTTAGTTCAAACAATGTTTAAATGTTGAAGTGAACTACTCATTTTTAAATCAACTGTAAAACAGTAATAACGATTTTTAATCCTCATTCAAAGTGAAATCAAGTTGGAATATGTTACAGAGTAATGATTCAATTTCTTGATCGTCTGTTTGAAATGAGCAAGTGGTGTAAGTTGGTCAAAGTTCAAGTTTCGGTCAACTGCAAGTTTACTGAAAAAGAAATGTCATGTTTAACTTTTACAGCAAGATACTAGAAAAGTGACTCCACGAAGTCTGAGTTCTTCATAACAATCTTCTGTCTGTTCTTAAACAATCTTAATCTTTTTCCTTGACTTTTCATAACACCTTACATCACAAAACACACCTCTGTTTTGGTCCATCGACCAATCAGAAACTCCCAAATGAACCGGAAATAGAGCTCTTTAAATGTTGGTACTTTCTAGTTCAACCCAGTTGAAGTTGGAGTAGATGGAGAGTTCTGCAAGAGGTTCCACCTCCAGTTGAAGTTGGAGTAGATGAAGAAGTTCTGCAGGAGCTCGAGCAGTTCTGCAGTTCTGAAACTCGGCAGTTCCAGAGTCCAGAATGCTGGAATGCAGAATGCTGGAATGCAGCATGCTCAGGACATCTGCAACTAAACTGGACGTGAGAAGTTCAGAGGAATTATGAAGTCTGTTCTGGATGATCTCACGACTCCGAACGGTTCCCTACTGTCCTTACGGAGACGCTGAAAAGTGGCTTGAAGTGGAACTTTACGCCGGAACTGACATATCTTCAGAAAGGTAAAAAGTCGATTTTCAACCAAAGTGTACCGTTGGGTTAAGCTGGTCCAAAGGAGCGTGCCGTCCTGGTTAAAACAGACAAATTCCCTCACCCACCTCTCTCCAGATAAACTTCATTTTCCATCTTTAAAATTCTTCTATCCTGCTAGCAAATCATTCCAGATATTTTTAGAAATGTCTGAAGCAAAGTTTTTCAACCACCGCCGTGTGGTTAACGTTTGTTGCACTGCTGAAGTGAGAAAACAATTGCCGTGTTGTTTACTCCTTGCTAAACTAGCCTAAATAAGCTGTTGTTATTTTCAATTTTTGCCAATTAATGTAAATGTGTGATGTGTTAAACTTGATTCCGTTAATAAATGACCCACTGTCGTTGGTGAGTCAAAGATAATTAAAGTTTCCGTCCACATTTTATTAAATTCAATGCACATTATATACAGTCCAGAAAAATGAAAGAATCCGTTTTATCTATGAATATATATCAGTATATGTTCATTCTACACCCATGATTGCGGTTTTGAGTAATGAACAAGGCTGGGAGTTTTTAAAAGCCTCAGGAATCTTTTGCAGGTGTTTAGAGTTACGTCGTTGATTCAGATGGTTAGGTTAATAGCTTGTTTAGACAACCTTTTCATGATATGCTAATTTTTTGGGACAGGCATTTTGTGTTTTCATGAGCTGTATGCCATAATCATCAGTATTAAAACAATTAAAGACCTGAAATATTTCAGTTGGTGTGCAATGAATCTGAAATATATGAAAGTTTAATTTTTATCATTACATTATGGAAAATGATGACCTTTATCACAATATGCTAATGTTTTGAGAAGGACCTGTATATATATATATTTTTTTTTTTTTTTTTTTTTTTTTTTTTTTTTTT